TGATATACAAGAGACCTTAATGTTATATATAATTAATATTAGGGATGGCTTATATTTGTTGTTATTTTTTTAATTGCTAGACATCAGTTGCTGTGCCAATTCAATGCCTTTTTCCAATTCCCAATTCAGTGCTAACACCCAAAGTGGTAAATCAAAATAAGTAACAGTTGAAAGTATGTGAGCAGGTATATGTATGTAGATTTCGTATGCTTGGTGGCGCTGTTTATCGGTTTTAACAGCATCTACAGTTTGACACGAAAGTGTTTTCACATGGGAAAACAATTATATTTTTGTTCTTTAACATACAAAAAATATACTAAGTATGAGATTTCAATATTTTTTTAAATTATATTATGTTTTTTCAAATTATTGCCTTACAAATACAATTAATAAAAATTAAAAAACTATTAACAAAGGCATAAAACAACAATAACAACTAAAAACATATTCAAATTCAAGTGACACGAAAGTGTTTGCACACATGCTATTCTTTATTTATTTGTATTCTTTAAATTCGCATTTACCGTTATTTTCGGCGTTTTCAATATGCACAGCTGTGGCTGATGCTATGTTCTTAAGAATATTTTGTAAGAATCGATACACATTCATTACAATCTTGAACAAATTAAAAATGCCAGGGAAGCGATTGTCATTTGACATGATTCAATTGGTTTATTATAACCACTCCATAGGAAAATCGGTCTCGGAGATAGCAGAAATGTTTATAATATCGAAGAGGACCGTTTACAATATTTTAAGTCGGGCAGAGAACGATTAAACACTGGAGCCAAAGCGTTCTACTGGACGACCTCGGGCGTTAACAAATAGGGCAGAGCGTATTCTGGCCAGGAAAGTTAATGAAACCCCAAAAATTTCGAACAGACCGCTTGCCAGAGTGTCGTATTGACATATCCCGCGAAAGTGTCCGCCGAGCCCTAAAAAGGAACGAGTTTGCATCCCGAGTTGCGCAGAAAAAACCATTATTGTCGTCTGATTATGAAAAAAGACGTCTAACATTCGCCAGGATGCATGTGGGACATGTGGAATCATATTGGGATGAAACCATATTTTGCGACGAGACTAAGATGATGTTGTACTACAACGATGGACCCAGCCGTGTGTGGCGAAAGCCGTTGAAAGCCCTTGAACGGAAAAATATAATTTCTACTGCAAAGTTCGGAAAACTTTCAGTGATGGTCTGGGTATGTATTTCTAGTAATGGAGTTGGAGAACTATGTTTTATAGAAAATACAATGGATGCCAAAAAATATTTGGAGATTTTGCGAACGCATCTAGTGTCCAGTGCCTGAAAGTTTGCATTTTTTAGGGATGGTAAACCAACAATCAGATTTTACCAAGACAATGATCCCAAACATAAAGCCAACACAGTCAGGTGTTGGCTTCTTTACAGTTGTGCAAAGGTGTTGGATACTCCTGCACAAAGCCCCGACCTTAATCCCATAGAGAATCTGTGGGCTGATCTTAAAAAAGCGAGGTCCAACAAATAAAAGGGATTTTAAGTCTTATATATTGGAAGAATGGGAGAAGACACCGGTGGAATATGTTCAAAACGTAATATATTCCATGAATAGACGGTTGGAAGCGGTCATTGAAGCCAACGGGGGTCATACAAATACTAATTTAAATAGTTAATTAAGTTAATATTGCCTTATTTTTGAAAAGTATTTCTGTGCAAACACTTTCGTGTCACTTGAATTTGAATATGTTTTTAGTTGTTATTGTTTTTTTATGCCTTTGATAATAGTTTTTTAATTTTTATTAATCATTTTGAAAAAATATAATAATTTGATAATTTGAAAAAAACATAATATAATTTAAAAAAATATTGAAATCTCTTACTTAGTATATTTTTTTTATTTTAAAGAACAAAAATATAATTTTTTCATCATGTGAAAACACTTGCGTGTCAAACTGTATGTTACTTAACGGATTTTTATATAAATTATATTTGAGTATTGGTCTGCTTAGTACAAATTCATGCTTTTTCACATATTGTCCCGATTTTCCCTTGATCTTAAAAGAATTTTGGAAATTTTGAGCAGGTATCCCAGTCCCATTACCTACACAACGCTCATCAACTCCACCAATACATTTCGTTGCCTGGGCCAAACCTAGAACTTGTGGGAAACGAGCGCCGCCTCTACCAACACCACCATTGCATTGCTTATACAAGGAGTTGCAAATGTGAACTTAAGTAGTAGTTGATACTTCAAGAACAATTCAATCACAACTTCGATTCTTCGAATAAAAAAGAATACAAACGTTTGAATGTATTTGTGCACATGTATGGGAAAAATAAGTATTACTTAATGGATTTAAATGAAATTTTCAGCATATGACCTACATATTCTAATGGTTTGGTAGAAACGCAAACTAAATTGAAAGAATATGTTGAAATTTGGAGCAGGTATCCAAAATCCAACAAAAATCGCAATTGCATACATACAACTAAATACAACATTTATTAAATGTATTTATTTGATAACAATTAAATGGGAATAGTGAAATGAAACAAACTTGATATACGCGTGCTATACACGTAGCAAATCAGGTAAATTGCAATTTTCAAAGAGAGAGAGCTTAGCCTAAATATATATCTTCTATAGTTTGAGAGCTAGGAACATAAAAATTAAAATATTGAGTTATTTTTTACTTTTGGCAGTAAAGTAGCAGCTTTAAGCTTAAGCTTAAGCAACAACATTTTACATTATATTTTTTCTAATGAGTAGCCAAAAAATTGTATATCCTCGGTGTGGTAGACATGAAAACTAAATCTTCGTCGTTTTACCTAAAATGGAAAATGGACTTATTTGGACTCGTAAAGCTATGCAATGCGCGATATTTTTAATAAGCACATGTGTATGCAACTATCCGGATGTATTCAGTCGATAGATAGTATCTGGTACTAATCAGTCTACAACAATTAGTAATGTATGTGGAATGAAAAGCATGTTTATTCTATGAATTTTTAATGAAAAAGTATTTAATTTCTAATGTCTTATAAGATTGGTGCAACCAGATAGGTTTTAAGATACGCTGTTCATATGCAGTTTACGAACAATAGACACATGCAGCTTACTCTTTTCAATAGTATTATTCTAATAGTATTGTATTCTAAACCTAATTTAATTACTGGATTAATAGATTTCTAATGGTTAGGAATTTGCCACAAATATTTATAAATTTAAGGTGATACTAAGAATACATTTTTTTTATTTTTTTTTGTATACCCATTGAAAATGCGAAATCGGGGTATAATGGTTCTGTGCAAATGTATGTAACAGGCAGAAGGAGGCGTGGCGGACCCCATAAAGATATTCTTGATAAGGACGACAAGCCGAGACGATTGAGCCCTGTCCGTCTGTCCGTCTATCCGTATGTGTGAACACGTGGATCTTAGATTTTTTTGAAGGTCCGTGTATAGCACGCGCAGGTCAAGTTTGTTTCAAATATTCGATAACTATTCGCATTTAATTGTTATCGAATAAAAACATTATTGAAATGCAGTAAATAAATTATATCTCGAACGTCTTAAGAGCTAGAGCCAAATTTTGTAATTAGTTTTATGTATATTTTATGCAATTTTGATTTAAGTTCAGTTGGAACTAGGGCCATTATGTGAAGGCGTTTGTATCTCAACCAAGCCAATAGGATATGTAGATCATATGCTGAAAATTTCATTAAAATCCATTAAGTAAAACAGAAGTTATTAAACAAAACGTTTGGCCAATTTGTGTGCACACATACATTCAAATGCGTGTATTCTTTTCTATTCCAAGAATCGAAATTGCGATTGAATACTTCTTGAATTCTCAGCTGTTACTCAACTTCAAATTTGCAACTCTTCTTGCAAGAGGTGGAGTGCCTGCGTTGGTAGAGGCGGAGCTCGTATGCAGCTAGTCCCAGGGCTAGATGAAATATATATATAGTGGAGATAAAATATTTTTTATTGCTTTATTTTATTTTTTTTTAATTATTAAGTGGCGGTGTTGGTAGAGTTGGTGCACGTTGCGCAAACAATCCGGGCTCGAATCCTGGTCTCGTAATATCATTTTTTATTTGTTTTTTTTTTTGAATACACTATACAAACTACGGAAAATATTAATAAATGCAAATAGGACTGGGATCAGGGTATCTTTTTGTCGGGCACCCCAACTAGAGCTTTCTTACTTGTCATTTTAAAATATGTAAAATTTTTTTTAAAAATTTATTCAAATAAATAGTTTTGTGTATATAACTTTTGTTTTTAAAGGAGACAACTAAAACTGAATGGGTTATATACGTAAACGCTATTATTTAAAGCGATAGAGAGATAATATAAGCAAGTAATTTCTAACATATTTGTAATTAAATACGTAAATTTAGTTAATCTATGGTAAGACAAGAGTAAATATTAATTGAATAACACGATAAAAAAAAAAAAAAAAATGAACTCAATTTTTATGATTGAGTATTATCACCTACCTACTAATTACCATATTGGTAGTGGTAAGAGAATAATAGCGTGTTTTATAGCGTGGTGTGAATCACCGAACCCTACTGTTTTATAGTTCGTTGAATTTTGGAAATATAAATAAAAAGCTGCATCATATTATTTTTTACCATTTCAAACTCTATAAGCAAGCGAGAACGTTGCATGCGAAAAATTCAGTTTTTATTTTGTAATTTAAATTTTAATGGGATTTAAGTAGTGTGTTATCGTTAAGATATAGGGACTACTGGTAATTTGATTTATTCAAAATTTGATTTGCTTATTAATAAAATCATCAACCTGACTAGCTTAGTGCTTATAGCTCTGACACACACTGTAGTTTGGATATATATTTTAAAAGCTAAATATAACTGTAATTTGGTAATTATAGACAGGTCTACCATTAATATGGCCAAATGGCTTTCGGCCATTTCAGCTCTCGAATGGGTTTAAACAGGAGATCTTGTCAAATTATCTCATCATGTTTTATACAATTATACATTTCAGAATGAACAAAATGTTTCGTGCCCTCACACGCCGCAAGCCGCTTGATGACTCAACGGCATCTAGGTTAGCCGGAGTACTCTCCGCATTTGATTTAACATTCCTTGGTATAGGCAGTACACTGGGTGTAGGCGTCTACGTACTGGCTGGGGAAGTTTCCAAAAGCTATGCTGGCCCAGCAGTTGTCATCAGTTTTCTGATTGCTGCCATAGCTTCAACATTCGCTGGACTTTGTTATGCAGAATTCGGCGCACGGGTTCCAAAAGCCGGCTCGGCATATATTTACAGTTATGTGACCATTGGCGAATTTGTTGCGTTTCTTATTGGTTGGAACCTTATCCTTGAGTACGTAATAGGTAAGTGAAATCGATAGGCTTTATATGTTTATCGAATATGTTTGATCGTGTCTCCCTAAGGTTCCGCCAGTGTTGTTAAGGGATTAAGCACCTATTTGGACTCATTGTGTAGTTATGCAATGCGAGATTTTCTTAACAAACACATTCCAATCCACGTGTCCGGCTTCAGCACCTACCCGGATGTATTTGCATTTGTAGTGACCTTGCTTTTCACTTGGGCTATTGCATCAGGTGCCAAAGAGTCAACCAGAATTAATAATATCTTTACTATTATAAATCTCGGAGTAGTCCTGTTCGTCATTTTTGCAGGGATCTTCAATGGTGAGTTAAGGCACAATTATGCATTATATTAATCATTACAAAATAAGGAAGGAATAGCCGAAGACATCCGCTTAATCTGATCCCATTAAAAAAGGGAAATCAAGGTATAATTGTTTTGTTAAAATGTATGTAACAGGCAGATGGCAATAAAGTATATATTTTTGGTCAGCGCGATAAGCCGATATCGAGCCCTATCCGTCTGTCTGTTTGTCCGTGTATAGAACGCGCATAATAACTTTGATTTAAATAATCAATACACATGTATATAATATACATGTGTTCTTATACATTCAAATGTGTATAGTCTCTACTATTAAAAATATCGAAATTATTTGTTGCTACTTTATTATCAGACATGCAACTTTTTGCTCAAGCAGTACAGTGGCGGTGTTAATTGATTCGGCGATTGTTGTCAAGAAGTTCTGTGCTTCATGCTAGGCGGCGACGGTACGTTTTATATCTTTATACCCCGATCCCAATAAAAAAGGGAAATCACTCCTTAAAGTATATATTCTTGATCAGGACGTCAAGCCGAGTCGATTGAGCCCCGTCAACGCGTCGATCTCAGCATCTACCAAAGGATACACGTATTTGAATGTATTTCTTCTTCTTCTGTTTTACAAAATTTCATTAAATAGACATAAAACTAAATACAATAGTTGGAGGCTCTAGATCTAAAGCCGTACGAGATGGAATTTAATAACTGCATGTTTTTATTCGGTAACAATTAAAGGGGAATAGTTAGTGCTATACACGGACCTACAAACATAATTTCAAGCCCTAGCTCTTATAGATGCTGAGAGCGACGCGTTCACACATACGGACAGACGGACAGGGCTCAGTTGACTCGGCTTGTCGTCGTGATTAAAAATATATATACTTCTACCTGTTAAATGCATTTGCAAAAAACCAATTTACCCCGATTTCCCATTTTTAATTTATGTGTATTTATATATTCTTAATCGTGTTGCCAAAGCCCTAGTAGCATTACATTGTTATATAGAGAATGCTAACAGTGATGTGATATTAGCCTCTATATATATTACTCTATAATATATTACTTCCATTGTAATTAATAATTATAGTTTATATGGGATCTTTTCCATGAAAGCTATCTTTGTAATTAGTTCATCGCAATTGACATTTTATATATATAAAATTTTGAGAATAGTGCCTAAAGATTATGGCTACTCAGCGAGAATCATATATAACGACGTGGTTTCGTTTTAGAAATAGATTAGATAATTTTTAAATCATAACATAAACGAGATTTCTGTAATAAGCCATTTTAATTTTTTTATACTATGCAATTAATCACGCCATTTTCTTTTATATGCTTCATTTGTTTCTTCAATATCGAAACCTATATTGAAATTTAAATTGGAGCTCCTAAAATAAGCTATCTCTCCTACAATATATATAGACAATATATATAGACCTGAATGAATGAATACAAAAATACAAAATTTGAAGGCTCTAGCTCTTAAGTCGTACGAAATATAATTTAATAACTGCATTTCGACCATATTTTTATAAAAAAAGGCGAATCGTCATGGATGAAAATAACATCCCAAAGTCATACATCGGACACTTTAAATATGTAACAAAGATTTTATACTTATACTTATACACTTAGTACCAAAAACTCAAACTTGATGACAGACATAGATACAACAAAAAACTCATAATATCACCACCAGCCAATCATAATTCGTCTCAAATGCCCCAACGGTTAATGTGCCAATACTTAAAATACAACACATAATCATAAAGCCGAACTCTGCTGTAACCAAATACAGAAAAATATTTATATTTTGATAGGAAGTATCTTTAAAGAACATAAATATAGTATATTCTTCCTATTGTGTATATTATTCAAACGCGTGCATTGGAAGATGCGAAATTGCGAGTAAATTGTGTGAATTGTCTACATTAATTGAGATTTGCAATACCTTCTGTTTTTTAATATTCGTTACAAACTATAAAAAAATAAAAACGAGCAGATATTACAGGGTTTTAGGATACCTCCTTGTCGGGCACCCCCAACTACTTGTTTTTTTTTTTTCATAAAATTGCTTTTATTGTGAAAGTGTGAGCACAAAAATGTTTATAGGCTCATGCTAGTTACAAGCAGAGAATACATCCACGTTTCCACTTTTACAAATTCAGACTCTCACAGTTGTTCTTAAAAACACAAATTCCATAGATCGATCTTACAAGCTAAAAGTTTCAAATTAGTTCATACTTAAAAACAAAGTTACCGAAATAATTTAAATAATACCAACAAGGTTAGGAAAACTGAATAAGAGAAAAGATGGATCAATTGCCAAATATATATATATTACGGCCATGGGCGTGTTGCAAACCGAAAACTCTACATCTATCGTATTCTACGATTTTCTTAATTATAATATAATATATACTTATAATAAATTTAATACATTTTATAATATAATACATCCATTAATTTATTGTTTTTATAGTTAGTAGTAGCAACTGGAATATACCAAAATCTGCAGTTCCGATGAATTACGGCGATGGGGGATTTATGCCTTATGGAATTTCTGGAGTTGTCAAGGGAGCCGCTGTTTGTTTTTATGGCTTCATAGGCTTTGATTGCATTGCAACAGCTGGTGAAGAGGCAAAGAATCCAAAGAAATCCATACCATTTGCTGTGATTGTATCATTACTGATAGTTTTTGTAGGCTACTTTGCAGTATCAACCGTGCTAACTATGATGTTGCCCTACTATGAACAAGATGAGAGCGCCCCCTTATCACACGTCTTTCGTATCTATGGAAGGCACGTATCAGAATATATGATATCTATTGGCGCAATTTTTGGACTGTGTTCAAGTCTAATGGGTGCCCTGTTCCCGTTGCCACGTATTGTGTTTGCTATGTCAAATGATGGGTTGCTGTTTAAATGCCTGGGCGAGATAAGTAATAAGTATAAGACACCATTTAAAGGTACAATTCTGATGGGGTTACTGTGTGGTATACTGGCGGCCATATTTAATCTGAGCCAGTTAGTGAACATGATGTCCATTGGCACCTTGCTTGCTTACTCTATGGTGGCAAGCTGTGTGCTTATGCTGCGCTACGAGGTAGATGATCATCACGATAGTCAAATTCTTGACGAGGGAGGAATCTTATGTAATGGTGTGGAGTTTTTCAAACAATTATTAAATATCAATAAGCAGATGGTTCCTACGAAACAGTCAGCACACATTGTAAAATCCATTGTCATATTGTTTTGTAAGTAAATGTGATATTTTGTTCTATTCTTTTGACTAACTTTTGGGACTATCTTTTGCAGCGCTCTGGTGTCTGGTTTTCACAAAAATCCTCAACCAATTTGAAAATGACTTAGAGCATATATCAAAGAATGATATTTTCTTTTTGATATTTACTATCATAGCATTAATAATTATGCTTATCATAATATCTCGTCAACCTACCTCTCGCGTTGATTTGTCATTCAAGGTACCTCTGGTGCCTTGGCTACCAGGCATTTCGATACTCATAAATATATATTTAATTCTGAAACTAGATATATTAACCTGGGTGCGCTTTAGCATATGGATATGCATTGGACTGCTGATCTATTTTTATTATGGCATACGACACAGTCGTCTGAATCAGAGGGAGCTTCGAAACAACTCCATAGCTCTGCTTAATGATTCAAATAAATCGCCATTTCTATGTGAAGTACGTTCCCATTAAGTCAACCAGATGATAATTCGATTGAAAGTTAGTTCTTAATTTAACTCTAGTAATAAGATGTTTAATTTATATGAATCTTTAATAAATATATTTCATAAATATTCCTCTTTAATATTGGTTTACTATTACACACTGAACCCATTAAAAATTTAAATTCAAGTTATTATTGTTATGTTAAAATGTGTGTGAGAAGCAGAAGAAGGTGTATCCGAAAGGATAAATATTTTTTCAAATAATCGTTAACTATTCCCGTAGCAATATGATCGACGAAAATAAATAAATAAAAAAAAGCTGTGTTT